GTAGCGCTGGAGGCGGCGTGCGGAGAGACGGGCCGATCGCCGACCCGCCGGGCCCCAGCGGACCACCCAGCCGGCGCCGACCGGCGCGCGCTGCTTACTGACCCTTCCCGTCGGGCTAATTGTTATGCGACAGTCTGCCATTGAGAAAGAGCGCCGGCGTCGCCCATCACCAGCGACAAACGGCTCCGGATGGCCGCCGGGGGTGCCACCCAGACCGTTGGTCCTGATACCGCGTGGGAGCTAGGGGACCTCCAGGACCAGTGGCCTCCCAGCGTTACCGCGCGGGAGCTAGGGGACCTCCTGGACCAGTGGCCTTCCAGCGTTACCGCGCGTGAGCTAGGGGACCCCCCGGACCAGTGGCCTCCCAGGGTTATCGCGCGGGAGCTAGGGGACATCCCGGACCAGTGGCCTCCCACCGTTACCATGCGAGAGCTAGGGGAGCCGCCCGGAACAGTGGCCTCCTACCGATACCGCGCGGTAGCTAGGGGACCCCCCGGAACAGTGGCCTCCCACCGTTGTAGCGGTGGTAGCCATCCGCAGCATTGGCACTGCAACCGCCACCATGGGAGCCGGGTGGCGGGGAATCACCGATATTACAGCCACCCGGACTACAGGACCTGCTGCCAACCCCTGGGGAACCGGTGGGGTATGAAGGGGGAGGGGGTATTGGGGAAGATGCACACTGGCGCTGTAATGAGCCCTCATCTTCTGAACCACGATCCCGTTATCGCTTGCAGCCATCTGCTCCCTGTCACCGCCACTCGTGCGTACGAGAGAAGGCGCGCTGGCATATCGCGTGAGATGAAATGTAGTGCTAGGGATGCATCGTCTTGCCTCTCCAACACAGCACATGGGACCAGCCCCTGGCTTCCGGACTACTGACGAGGTTTTTGTTTGAAACGTGGCAAGATTATGCCGTCCCAAGATACAAAAAAACAAAATGCTGACATTTTAAGCGATAGGATTAATCGCACAGCTCCATGGTGACAAATGAAAGGAGCGAAAATACATCGAGAACGTCAGACGCAATTCGACAAATTTAAAGTCAGGAAAGCATACCTAGCAAATAAAACCTGGAATTTATCAGGTGAGGCGGCATAAGTGAAGCTTCTCGCCTCCTTGACAAAACTAGCAGATACCAGCCAGACAAATGTCTTAGCAAAAATCCTCTGATTATGTAGCTAAGCTCACTCTGTGAGCATGTAACAATAACCATCATGGAGCAACTGTTGACATATCAGATGAAAATGGGGGTTTGTGAAAACAATCATTTGAGCCGATTTCTTTGGTGTATTAAAAATCTTTTCAAGTCAATACGAAGTTTTTTGGGATCAGACAGGCAGCGGGATTTCTTACTTTGAAATACAGCTGTGCGAATGATCTTCTGCCTAAGTAACCATGGTCCTTCGTGGGCATTGACATCGCCGAACATATTTTCATGATCCAGAATCGCACTATCTCCCTGCATTTTTTTGGGGACTCACGATCACGTGACCACCTTCAAGCTGAGTACATCGACTTGGATGATACCTATTATTCGTGAGGGTAGATTCTGACTCCTCCCTCTCATCCGTTTTTTATTTGCTCGTCTTAAGCTGTTCGCTACAGCGCTACATTCGCGTGGCCTTTCATGAAAGCAGTATACGCGTGCTGTGTAAAAATGCCAAAGAAGTGGATCAAGCAGGGCCGATTTCCATTCCTTGTTTGAACCAGGTAATCTGTTGTACACGGAAGGTATCACACGCAGGGTTGTGCGGCACACTTCCGTTAATCTGCGGGTGAACTATGAGCTTAAGATTGTCGATTCATTCATCTAATCACATGCGTCATAAACACGGGGTATGAACATACATTTCTTGGCGGAGTTGTTCAAAAGTGCAGAAAACTGTCGAAACACACTGTTCGTACATTCTTGCTTGCAAATTGTTGTAACGCATCGAAATTGCTCTCACAATATGTGTCGGACCTTAAGAAAACACTCACGGTCGTCCGGCTCCAAGCTTTCGCTAGTCGTTAGCTGTCCGTTTTGTGATGGACCAAATGGACCAATTGGACCAAAGCGAAGGTGTGTAACGTGCTTCTGCCGTATTTAGTGGATAAAGCAAAGGTGATGAATCTAGTATTTGGGCTGCGTGCATAATATATCACGCTAAATAAGCCTTGTAACCATTTGGCAGGAACGTGCCCAGGCATTGAAAGACTAGAAAGGCGAGTAGGCATTTGTTGAAGAAAGCTTACGCTAAAAGAGCATCCTGCACATTGTTTACGCAAACCCGCGCCATTGCAATACTTTTAACGTAACAAATTAGCTAGCAAAGCTAAACTCTGATGTATACACCTTCTAAAAAAACGGCATAAATCTCTAGCGCAAAAACCACCCTATTGCCCGCACCGGGGTCGCCTGTACTTGTCAGCTTTGCATATATTGTCGTTATTTCAAGGTGACCCGCGTTTGCCACATGCACATTGGATACTAAACATTGGAGCATTTACCTTATACAAACTATACAAAACTTTGGAGTTTTCTCCTTCTGATTCTCTGCGTTTAATCTCCTAAATAGGCTGCCACACAAATCTAAGACAAAATCGCTTGGCTATTGGCCCATGCAAACTGGGCAAGAGATTCTCGAAATCTGACGGGGGGGGGGGGTAGCATAATTCGACCCCCGTACATAAATGTCACGATCTGCACGGTATGGGGTGCTGATTTGAAACAGCCTTCACTACCGTGGCCTGTGAACAAATGCAGAATCAAACAGCTAAAAGACATAACATATTTAACACGAAATCAACGCATGAATTTTGCATCCCTGAGCGATTTATTTTGATGCTTTGCCTGCGAAATATGAGGCTTCAAATATGCAGTATTTATGCATGTGTAATACAAACAGGCGAATGATGTAAAGAATAACGAGCTCATGACATACACGACCCACCCCGCGCCCCGTGGCCATGACGTCACAAGATATGGATACCCAGCGTTTACGTGTGATAATTTGGCGAGAAAGCTGAGTGATATTCTAATGACTGACTGGATAAAAAGCAAGATATTGTTGCCAAGTTACTCGATATAGGCGTTTAATTCTCGCAAGGCGAGACTTAACACGCGCTTAGGTGGGGGCAAGCTTAACGAGTTTCCGTAGCCTCTTTCGATTGATGCGATGCAGTGACATCAAGCTTGTATTTAGCTGCAAGTGTGCGTAGTCGAAAACCTACCCTGTTAACGTAAAAATATATTTAGGAACCTATATTGCGAGGTTACAGATATGTGGCAGGTCCAAGTCTTCATGGTTGTCATCAAAGAGAATTCTAACAGAATGTTTTAAACTGCAACAACAAAGTCATGCAACTTGACCTAGTTAGTTCGGCAAAAACATAATTAACATCATGATAATGACTAATTCAATGGAGCTTTGGTCCACTGTGAAGGTCAGATGCTAATCAATAGTACATAGCTTCTTGGCTTGAAAACTTGCCATGCAGGGTAGTTCTTAAAAGTTTATTTTGAATTCCTTGATCACAAAGATATTAACAGATTTCACAATTTCACTTGAAGGGGGCCAGGGTAGGACTTTGATCTAAAATGACCTCGATCAAAACTTTTCCTTGGATGAACATGCCGCCCAGGGTAGCTCTTGATGCTGATTTTAAATTTAAATGGCTGGATGACCCCGGACTCCTACAGTTGTTTTGGTCTTCGTCCTTCGAAAAAGGGTAAGCAAAGTTCATTGAACCATTGTAACCCCAGGTGACCAGGTGACCATTTTGAAAGGTATGCTTTGTTTGCAATTGTCTGACTTTATTTGGACCGAGCGATGCAGTCTAGTTGCTTAAAAATCAGACACAAATTAGGTCCGATCACATCCTGCCTACCTTGTGAATTCGGTGGCTCTAGCTCCCTTACCCTTTGATCTTAGGGGAAGCAAATTCACTATCGCTCACCCGTGCGCGTTGTTTTAATGCCGGTGGGAGTGCACAGTTGGTTCTTGTAAGTCCTCTATCGAGATTTTGATACGAAAAAGGAAGCTTTACATCATACGAATGAGTATGTTCGTTCTTCACCAGTGCAAATACCGTCTTGTCCGCCAATTAAGGCAAGAAAGCGTGTTCACGGACATGACAGGCATACTCGGTAAAAAAGGTCATAATCATGGATGCGTGAGATCATTGTGTGATGTAAGTGTTATTCTTTCTTCTCATGATCACAGATGGAAAATGCGGTACGGTAGGTGTGGTAGTCACAGCAACTTTCGTCAGAATAACTTAAAGTAGTATTTTGCCACACGAAACCTTAGCAAACCTAACCTTCAGAAACGTCATCACAATAAGCATCTTCAGTATTTTCCAACCGTGTCTATGACCAATGAATTTCGAGAACAAAATGGCGACACTAATTTATAAAGCAAAAGTGCAAAAAGGTTGCCGATTCGTCCACTATTCCTCCCTCCGAAACTGCTTCAAGCAAGATAGGAGCAAAATGCTGCTGTTCAGGGTACTTTTCTGAATTACATTGTCAAAAGTCGCAAAATACGGTAGTCTGCTAATAAATTAAGCAAATAACACATACAGCACACTTCAGTCGTGTAATACTAATTACGCACTTCTCTATCGTGTAATTGCATAACAATAGGTTCCAGACCCCGGCCCATTAGCAGGTATCAAGTGTTTATCGAAGCCAACTTTAAGGATTCTCCGAGAAAATGAGAAGCCGTGAGACTAATACGGGTAGCCCCAGCCTCAGGGCCCTTTTAAAAGAATTTTGGCATGCAGCGTTTGACGAGTGCGAGTGTCGTGCCATCTATACTATGCAGCGATGGAGCGGTGGAGTGGAAGCACGCTCCACCCCAATGACACTAAAGTTTGGCTGCCCCACTCCTAGATGTCAGGGTTAAGTCAGTGGAGGCGGTGCAGCGACAAAACTGACGCAACAGCTACGACTTTGGCTGCCGCCAGTATCCTCGCTGCACAAGCATTGGCAGAACGTGGCTCTACGGGATTCAAGCTCTGACTTGCGAGATTGGCGGCGCGTGTCCACGGCGAGGGAGGAGGCCGGTGAACTTTCGGGATTCTTGGTGAACGGAAAACTTGGCCTGGGCACGTAGTCTTGGGCGAGGCCCTGAATCGTAAGTAGTCGTTGGGCGAAATAAGACCATTCAGGGCAGACTGACCCGACGCCTGACTGCGATGGGGACAACCTCCGACGTCGCCGTGGCCCATAGCGGTGGGTAGCGGGCAATCGCGGGGTCCGACGGTTGTGTCGCCGAAAACCAATATATTTGGGGGAAGTTCACATGAAAGTTAGGGGTCAGACATTGGTCCTGAACTTTGTATCATCAATTAAACAGTTGAACAATTGATAGTATGCTTTACAAACAATGCATGTACTCTGTCATCTGGTGTCATTTCTTTAAATGTGTGTCAATATACAAGAATGGGAAGTTGTCGCAGGCAATCTAAGTGCTTTATGGTGTTATATTCTCATTGGCAAAGTGTAAAGCTAGGAGAACATCCATGTGGAGTCATTTCTCACAGCATGACACATTTTGGGGATTCTTTCAGAAGACATCACTTACCACAAAGTTTTGCACTTTTGATATATGTGTGAGAGGCATGCTTTGGTGATACCACCAGTATGTTCTTTTGAAGACAAATATTTGTTCTTTGCACCATGAGTTCTACACCATGGGAAATTTAGTTGTTTTGTTTCTGCTGGCGGAGCACAAAAATTTTCGGGGTTGGAGTACGAACTTGCCCACAGCCATAGGTCTGTCTGATATGGAATGGTGTCTACACAATGGGCCTTGTTTAGAGTATATTACACACTGCCTTTAATGGGCCAACATTTTCCCAGTGTTTTTCTGGCAAAAAAAGTTGTCAGCATGCAATTTTGCATTTCAGTGGAACAAAGCACTTCTTGTGAGTGAGGGCGCTACGCTGATCCCACCCATATCCCCGTAGTGCTATCAGCTCGCCTATATACGCGGAGTCTGCGCGTGACTCACCTACCAATATTGTACACCCTGAGCAAGCTGGGGTAAATAAAGAATGGTGCGCCCTTCAGTGAATGTATGGCACAACAGTACACCGGTCAATGCCAATGAATCGCATTGAGTGGAGCAGACACCGCTCTCCGCACGCCGCGCCTCGGCAAAATTTACAGGGTTCTTCTAGACACGGTTAGTTATCCAGCGTCAGCTGGCTAATTTTCCTGGGGCTTTTCGAATTGACACTATGCAAGTATTCCTCGATGGGCGACGTCCCCAATCTTGTGTCTAAATAAAAATGATGTTTTCGCACGCTGTGGCTTTTGACCAGCACCGTGCTTCACGCACGAGTTATCTACCTTGTTCTTTTCAAGTTATGAGACTGTTGAGATTCATTGCATAAAGAACGGCTCGAGCATATGGAACTGTGTTTTAAATTCAGGTCAGCGCTGGTGTACGTGACAGGCAGTTTGACACGAAATACTGACATACTAAGCTTGCAAGCCAGCCGGTGTACCTACGCCGATGAAAAAGTTTTGCATCACTACAGGTATCAGCAAAACATCATCCTTGCCATAGTGTCATAGCTATCCTTGGTAGCTCATCAGGCAGGAGTGGGCCTTATTTCCTACCCTTCATCCCCAACTCCAAGGGGCTCGAGGCTTGTATGGGAGGTAGTCCCTTCACCCGCCGATCTTCGCGGGGAAAACTGGGCAAAACCATAAAGGAACAATAAGATTTCGTGCATATCCGAAGTTTTGATATTTATCTGTCCCATCCTCAAATGGTGTTGCGAAATTGCGCCCGACAACCGGTGCATTGCGTGCGATGTACTAACTTGGGGCGAGGGAGGGCTAAGTGAACATGGCACGCCATTTCGTTTACATGTAGCCGACGTTCTAGGGTTGCAAAATGTAAAACCTTTCCTACCAAAATGCGGCACGTGCCGGTGAATCTGCATCGACCTTTGCTCCAGTTGAGATGTACCATCTGGAGCACACGGATCGTATGGAGCGTAACTACGCATGCAATTGGATATGAAGTGAGAAGTGAAGAGGCCAGCAACACATCCACTCATTTTGACATGACTTGATTGCCTCACATTGATGTCTTCGCAAGTTTATTTCATTTCATCTCAATGCTGCCCATTGAACATTAACGAATGATCAACTTCTCATATAAGCGGACAAATGGTAAATGTACATAGCCACTGATTTACTTGTATGGAAGTCAGCAAAAAATGACACCATCTCCAGATGATGCTAATTCTCTGGGGCCTTGAGCAAAAAATCGCTTGCATTTAGTTGTATTCTAACATCGTGACTGTTCCTATCATGACACTACAAAAAAACGACGTAGCGGGCAAGCTCTATCATGTTCACACCACGCGGACAGCTCGCCTGACATGTCGGTACCGACATATCAACGCACCGGTCCGGTGCGCTGCTAGACAGAACAAAGCCATCGAGTACAGCAACCGGCAGCATTGACGGCAGGAATCACGTGTTTCTCGCGCGGAGGTGATCAGCATGGCACAGTTACGTCGGTTCCACCAACTCCGGCAGCGAGCGCCGCCACATGACGCACGTCGGGAGTACGGGAGTCTTCGGGAACAGGACCATACCCGATGGCAAAGCGGCAGGTACAGGCGCCAGCTGCTCCTCCTGAACACGGCGCACTGGCCACCATGGTAACATATACAAAACATGCATAACTGGAGTAGTGACTGACATCACCGCACAAGACCGTCATGAATTTGGACTGTTGCAGTGGCAGGTAGCTCTTTTAACAGTCCAGTCAGTGTCCGGTGTAACAACAGTAACAGTAACAGTCAGTCCGGTGCCAGCACAGCCCGTTACGGCCACAACACAGTCTGCGGTGAAAAGTTATCAAAAACCACCGGAAGAGCCGTGTATAAGATTTAAGTGCACCACTCCGTACCGCAAGTGAAGCGTGTAGTGGTCCCGGGCCGTGATGTTCATGGAGCGCGTCAGGTTGATGCACCACTCGTTGCCATGGGGTGCATTACAACGTATTAAGTATTGCCGTACGAAAAATTGGTGGAATGTACAATTTAAATGCCTCTACAGCTCTGTGTCTAGCGCATAACGAGCGGCCGAAAACGGGACCGTTCAGCTCGTTCCAGCTCGAGCTGACAGTGACGTTTTTCAATCCTCAGATCTTGCCTTGTCTTTCTCCCCATCTACGTTAGGTTTCATCGTTACGAAACCCGCGAAAGTGCTCCCTTATCACATACGCCACGGCCGTCATCTACGCCGGAACGGCGTGAAAGTGTCGTCGAATGCCACGAAGGTTGCACTCGTAGCGTGCACAAATACCACCGCAATCAGTGCAACCGTTTGCGCTGTGCGCCTCGCCAATAAATCCGGACACACAGACACACGCACACCACCAAGCTAGTTGTTAACATGTGTACGAACTGGCGTTTTTTTTTTTAAACAATGTCGGGTTACCCACTTTAGAGGTATGCGGTTCGCTGTCGACGCGATATTTCAGAGAACGGGGTTTATTATCGCTGTGGGCTGTGTAACGCCGATGCACTGCTGTCGAACTTCACCAATCTTCCTCCACCTCTTACCACGGGAAAACGGCACTTCCAAATACGAAAACCAAATGCATCTAAAAAACGTCATTCTGTATATTTATTCTTTGGGTCACACATCCCACGCACCCAATCACTTAACACACATCAATCAATCACAAAACATCTAAAACATAAGTCGGGACACCCACTCAGCTACTCACACCCCTATCACACCTAACCCGGATACACATACATTCAAGCACTCTAAAAGCCTACATCACCTCCTCCTCCACAGCCCATCTGACGCTGGCCTCCACGACACGGGTCAGCTCTCTGCCGAGGTGCACGTAAGCCGACTGGGCTAGGTGCAACCCGTCGTCTCCGTACACCTCCGCAGGGAGCCTCGGGGCAGTGCCATCCACGGGGGGTGGCTTGCCGGCCACGTTACCGGCTACCCACCCCACGGGGATTACAAACCCCGCAGTGTCCGCTTCGTGGGGCATTTTAAGAGCGCGCCTGAGCGCGCGCTCGGTGTCAATGTACAGCGCACTGCTGCTCTTCGCGGCCTCGCGGAAGGCCTCCGCAAGGCCGCGGAAAGCGGCAATGGCCGAGTCATCTCCGGACTGCGGCGGAAAGGGCCCCAGAACAATGGGGACCACATTCCGCAGCCGTCCGAGGAGAAATTCAACAAAGGCCTGCAACTGCGCGGCCAAATGCGCTGTTTTCTCGGCGACATTTGGCAGCGCGGCTGCAGGAGGCGGGGCCGCACCGGTCTGCTGGCGGCGGCGGCGGGAGGCGGCATCCTCTTTTTCAACCAGGGCGTTTCCCCCAATTGATATCAGCACAAACCCTGGGTTCAACACCCTTAGGTCTGCCGCCGCCTCCCGCATTTCAAACCACTCGTCGGCCAGCATGCCGGTGCGGTCCCCTCTCACACTGCCAGAACCTTCGAAGGCTTTTATGCCGATTGAAAATGACCCCCACCGAGTTCGTAAATCCCTCCCACGATTAAAATTTTGACTCCTCACATGGGAGTCCCCGAACATCAATATCCGGTGGTCAAACGACACCACATGTGATGTTCGGCGGCTCCCATGCGAGGCACCACTTCCCCTGCCCAGCCCTCTGTCCCGCCTCCTACCGCCCCATCGGTGCGGTGAGCGGGAGCGACTGGAGCCTGGGGGAGCGTCAGGTCGCCAACGCCGCTCTCCTCCCTGGAAAATATGCATCATTGTGATCAAGATAAAATGGAGCGTTCCAGCTCGAAGGCATCTTTCAAAAACATACTCTGGAGAACCTCAGGACAAGTTACGTCTAGTAACAGCACCGCGTAGCGTCACTGCAACACCACCAAGACATCATAAGCATATCAAATTGCATTATCTCAGACTTCAGATTATGCTATGAACCCTATGTAGGGCGTCAAAATGTTATCTCTCCCGCAGGGTCGGCTGTTTCAAACAGAACTTCTCAGCTTTTCAGAAGTATTTCGAGAAAACCTGGTATTTATTATCAAATCGTACGCGTCTGATGTCACCATAAGTGAAAAGTAAAAAAAGGTGGGAAGCTTCCTTTAATCAAAACCACCAAGCATGCAGCGTCGTCGTCGACGGATTCAGCGCCCCATTGGAGGCTAGAAAGCTCTTCATAACATTGGACACGGTGGGGCTTAGCTACAGCGTTGCGACAGAAAACGCAACGAAAATAGCAAGTAGGAAGCAACTACTAGGTTGGGGACCATGTGACACTTGTTCCAGGCGGACCGAATTTCAATCCATTGAATACGTTAAACTACCAATGACAATGACAAAGCAAACACCCAACGGGAACCCCAGTGTTGCCATTACAATTACTCCAAATGGCGCAGATGTCTTAGCGATTCCAGTTTTCTGTCATGCCTGCCACATGTCTGCTGCTTGTTGTAACATTGTGCTTCCCGTTACGCAGTGTTTCGTTCCACTCTGTTTTCGCTCATGATATGGAATATTTCTGTTTAAATGCGATTGATGTTTGTTTTCTACCGTAAATCATACCAAATCCAGCGGAAAAAGGATACCTTTTATGACTTCCGGTCACAAACTGACATGATGACTGACGCTCGACGAGTAAGCTCGGATGACAGGATGACGTTAAGGTCATACGGTGATGGATACCACGGATACGCGAGTACTAAGAAACTACGGATCAGCGAATTGTAAAATTTAAACCCATATGTGCCACCGCAACTTTACTGGTACCTGATAACAAAGCGATGTCTGCTGTTTGCAGAAGAGCAGGTTGCATATAACATCGCAACTGCTCCTCCAACGATGGCAACGAGTTATGTGTCGACGAGATCTGGCTAGCATCGCCACTTGCTCAAAATGGAACCCCTTCAATTTTCCAGTACAAAAATCTGGTCCGTGCTCACGCAGCAGCGGATTCGCATTGCGATTATCTTTCGCCTGCAGGTGACTTACACGACATTCCGCAATCGCCTTGCGGTCGTCCCACAATGAATAATTCGCCTTTTGGCCAATCTTGCTCATCTTTCTGGCGATCTCCAGAATGAATGTCAACACTAACGCACTGGGAATGAAATCGATGTCGCACGGAGCAGTTAGGGCACTGAGCTTGTCTGGATCATTGCCGCGTCGGGAAGGGTCGTTCTCGATCGTCATCACCACCTGCCCGAACTGGTTCGTCACTGACTCAATAGATTTCACGCTGTACTCGACAAATCTGGTTTGGTTTCTACGGTTCTCTGCGGGGTCCGAAACGCACCATCGATGCGTCTCGCAAGACGTAGCATTTTGGATGACCGGTCAATCGTATGAACAATGGCATCCAGATCTCTGTAGAAATTTCTACGCCCATGAGAACTCGTTTAATCTGAACGTACTGTCGAACCACTTTTCCACCTTGTAAGCCCTGTCCACCAGGTGAATAAAGGCTTCATCGCCGAACATTACGCGCCACCTGGCAGCCACACCTGCGTCTGGTCCAGCATGCACCGCCTCTTTATCTGAACTTATAGTCAAACACATTATACCCACATCCTGTGACAGCAAGTCGAGGACAGACTTAGTGAGAACATCTGCAATGTGCTCGAGACATCCAATAGCGTCCGATCCATGCGTTAAATTTTCTTGGGGCGCATCCTCCGTTCCTCTTTCGAAAAACATCCACGGACGGATTGATTACGACCGGAGTGTCGTCGACGTCAATAAATCGAATATTACGACCTGACGGGATACCCTGCACACAGTAATTTTGTCGACACTAATATGGAAATGACGTCTCCTTCCAGAAGCAGGATTAGCTGACTTCAGATAACGGCGCGGGGAGTCTTTGTGCACGGCATAAAATGTATCAACGCCAGCAGCAGCAGTTGTCTTGTCAATGCTCCTGTGTATTTCACCGAACTCCTTCGTGCTTATAAGGATTGGCATCATGTCATTCATCATGGACTGAAAATCCGCATAATCCTTGATTACACTGTGATATAAAATAAGCAGTGTCAGTTGTCAGCTGCTCGTCGGGCTCCTTCGTCTTGGTAAATTGGTCCCTGGTCGCTTGCCGATTTTTCACGGCCTCCTCACATGCCCTGTGCGCTACCGTTCGAGCATGCCGTTTCACGAGAAACATTCTCCTTTTAAGTGACACACCAGTGTCAACCCAATGAAGGGCTTTGCTAGCTCCTTTCATGCCAACCACGATGTCTGTTATGCGTACACGTAGCAAAGAAACCAAATGAGCCTGCGGTAGTTTCTTTTCGAAGGAGCCAAAGATGCCTTTCGGTCATAGCGCGCTGATCTGCTGCTGACGCCTCAGCATAAACGTGACCTTGGAGCTCAGTGACCTCTTTCCGCAAGTCGCTGTTGAAGTTGATCTGTGTCGCAAGATCCCTCACGTCTGCAGACAACGTACTCAATTTTTTTCAATATCTCCTTCACACCCACCGTACCCAACCATCCGTCCACAGATCCCGTTGGAAGTGACGGTGGTGTCGCTGGGGCCGAAGACGGAGCATGTGCATGTGGAGCACAATGTATCGGGGACGATTCTGAACGTAAAGGTATGGTCTGATCTGCAACATCATGTGACGACAAACCAGGATCAGGAATCGCACCAACATCAGCTTCAATTTCTGGGACATCGCATACGTCTTTCAGAGCAATGATGGGTGCGTTATCTGGAATGTCATATTCGATGTCCGCAACATTGAGCTCATAATCTGGAAAATTTGGTTCCCTGTTTGGGGCACCCGGTCCTACATACGAAGCGCCGTGTTCCTTTCCTAGAGCGTTTCGTTTCCTCCGGTAATCGTTTGCCTTTTCAATCAGGTAACCTGACACACCTTTAGGGTTCAATCGCTGGGCAGCTTGAAACTCTGCTTCATGTTTCCTGTGTGTCGTGGCAAATTTCTTGCACATGCAATGGCCTGGTTGCAAATATGACATGTAATTTGACCTGCCCGATGCGATACTGTCGCGAATCGAATTCTTTCGTACGTTTTTTTTCTTCTTATACAAGAATAAGTCCTTTCTAGCGCTGCCCTGCCAAAGACAAAACAAAATATATTACAATCAGTAGCCTGAAAAGACGACTGTATGCCCAGACAGAGCCCAAACCGCTAGTTCCTTTCAGTATTCGGAGACTTTCCTCCCCTTTGTTGTTCTAAATGTATACTAAATGGCGCCAGCAGCCTAGCTACAGTTTTTGGTGGCCTTGAGTGGTCATATCTCATAAGATTCTAGGAGTTATTGGTGAGCACGGCAACCGGAATAATCGGGATCACATGAACACCCTGAATTAAAGTGCCAAAGATCTGTCAAATACGGAAGCCACTCAGATGCTTCCCTACTGGTTGATACGACAAGGTTATAAATACCTATTGCAGGAGAAGTTGACTTAAACCTGCCTAGTGGTCACCTTGACACGCATCTGGATTGAGCCACGCAGCCAGCCCATTCCAAGGGAGAGTAGTTTAGCCGATCCCATAAAATACCACTCAATAACCGTATGAAGACCACAGATGGGTACAAAGTCAGTTGACATGCACCAGGCCTACGACCGTCATTAGAGGCTGAGGCTTCTTCCCTGGAGCTGGCTCAAGCCCACGTTTTTCAAGATAAAGCATGACCTGCAAGCAGGGACCAGCACCGCAAGCCACAAAATGCAAGAGCGCCACAAGCCACCAATGCAAGGACGGAGGTTATGGAAAAATGAATGATATCATAATGTGTTGCCTGGAGCACCATTCACCTGCTGGAAGGGTAACAACGCCACCCCCAAGAGCATGACTGCAAATTAAACCTTTACAAGCAGTGTGCAGAAAACACAATGCACCATGCTTCATACTCACAAGCGATGATACGACAATGTTTCCTGCAAGGGGGAAGTCACAAGGGTGAGTCCTCACTAACCACCATGGACAAAATAATGAAATGCCTTATCTTTTTGAAGGCTCTTACCATCTGAATGATCCCCCCTGGATGCATTCTTATTATATTACCTCAGATCAAGTTTCTTTAAATACCTTCCAAGCAGCATATCAAGAGTTACACCAAAACATGACTACCAATTTTTGGAAAGACCAGCATAGAACAGCCCGCACTTGATAAAAACACATGGCACACACGCACACACAATGCGTATATATATATATATATATATATATATATATATATATATATAATATATATATATTATCTCTCTCTCTCATCTCTCTCCTCCATCTCACTCTCTCTCTCTCTCATCACTCTCTCTCTCTCTCTCTCCTACCCCCTCCCCCTCCCCCTCCCCCTCCCCTTCCTTCCCCCTCCCCTCCCCCTCCCCCCCCCCCTCCCCCTCCTCCTCCCCTCCTCCCCTTCTCTCTCTCTCTCTCTCTCTCTCTCTCTCTCTCTCTCTCTCTCTCTCTCTCTCTCTCTCTCTCACTCTCTCACTCTCTCACTCTCTCACTCTCTCACTCTCTCACTCTCTCACTCTTCACTCTTCACTCTCTCACTCTACTCTCTCACTCTCACTCTCTCACTCTCTCACTCTCACTCTCTCACTCTCACTCTCTCACTCTCACTCTCTCACTCTCACTCTCTCACTCTCACTCTCTCACTCTCACTCTCTCACTCTCTCACTCTCTCACTCTCACTCTCTCACTCTCACTCTCTCACTCTCACTCTCTCACTCTCACTCTCACTCTCTCTCTTCAATGGCTGCAAGTCCTCAGCTTGGAGGTACAAATGTTTAGGGATACAATGTTCCATACTTGTACCTAAGCCTAGACCCAAACAGCAGTCGTCACCCTTATAACTTCCATAGCCAAAACACATACTTACAGGCATGCTGCAGCTCCAGGTATCACCTGGTGTCCAAAAAGGTCTGAAACCACCAGTATGCAAAACATTACAAGGGTGCCACCTTCAACAGTACCACAATACATATCCAAAATTAGCTATGAGACATCAAGAGTTGCAACCTCAGCATACTGAGCATCATATTTCATAATAGCCAGTACCTACATCTACATAACCCATAACTCATACTGTAATGGAGAATGATTAAGGGTACCTGTTAATAAGAAATGCAGTTAGAGAGATTAACAGCAAAATTTCATACAGATGCATTCACAAGTGCATCATACAAAGCTTGTTTACATATAATTACCCATCTATATGCACACTTAAACAATATCAGAATGATAAATCAGGTGCATCCTCTGTTTACTGACAAACTGAATCGTGAACAACCACTTTGCATGACACCCTGGTTTTTCAATGACTCTTAGGCAGCTGCAGCTTACTATGAAAGCCTCATGTATGTGACATCAGTAATATGCAGTCCTTGGGGCCTTACATAATTAATATAAACATACCAAAAGTGTTCCTCTTCCTATCCTTTTCTTTCTGCTCTTCTCCTCCCCTTTCAGCTCCTCCCCTGCACTTTCTGTCACTCTTCTCCTTCCACTTCTCCTTCACTTCTGCTCCTCTCTTCCTGCACCTCCTATTATCCCACTCCTCTTCTTTAAGTCCCCTATGATCCTATGCAGGGAAAATTTTAATAGTGTCACTGCAGGACCTTATGCCAAACAGCAAGAACCATGGCAGTATTGCCACCTGTCAGGTCACAGTAATTATAGCCACAGGCTGAAAACAGGTCATCCTTATACAGTATCTCAAATTTGGTTTTGGCTCTTTTTTGTTTTTGGCTCTTTTGGCTCTTTTGGCTGTTTTGGGGGACAACAAAAATATTAAAACTATGACTTGTAGTGAGAATGAAATAACCCAAGTGCATTTGCACTACATTCACAGCTGGCACTAAATGAATTCTTTGGCAGCAAATGACAGTAAATGCCATGCTCAAGCTGGTCTCAGTGATTGCCACAGACCATTAGAAATTGGCTGCTTCTCTTAAACTCTAGTTGCTAATAGTGTTCTCCTATTCATGCTTTGCTCTTTTTTTAAGATATGGGGTGATGAAAGGTGATATGATATCTAAAGGTGCCAGTCCAATAAACTGATAGAAGCTCCCCTGCCCATTCCCCCAAATGTCACTTATACAAAGTCTGCAAGCAACAACATAAATAAGACCATCTGGGGCATTGGTCAGGGTATACACTGCCACCTGATGTTAAAAAAGAGCGCTAAAAGTACATCAATAATCGTTTTTAAGGCAGACCACATCGCAATTAATCGTAAAACAGGTAATCTAAACTTTTACCTTGGAACTTAAATAACTACGACAGCGAACATCCGAGCGCCGCAAACACGCAGCAACCGCGACCCCGGCGTCATTGCTACGCGTAATCCCATTACTGCGTGATCACAACATTACTGCGCATCAAGACCCATAGAAATGTACGAGGCCACGTAACAAGAATGCAATGAAATCTGTAGTAGGCTCAAGCAAGGCTGGTAGGCTGGTTTTTTCTTGTGTTACAATAATGCCTACGTGCAATCCAGAAGCGTTAAATTGTGCCGTGTGCGAGATATTCTCTGCGGCTCTCCCTGGTTCGTCAAGAGGCGCTGTTGTTTTGGGTGCGGGCTTGGGCCCGGTGTGTGGGCACGTTGGTGCTGTTAGGCGGTAGGTGAGTTGAACATGTGCTGGTGAGCAGAAACAGACGTGGGCACTGAATGCATTGCAAGAAAACAATATGTGATATGGTGGAGAGATTCGGATGTAACCCGCAAGCAGTTTCCCTCGTTCAGTCGTGAGTTTGGCGCGCGATGCTGTCGAAGTTGCAGGAACAGCTTGCCTCCATCTGACGTCGCTCACAGAGAACAATTTTTGCATTCTTCCCAATGTATATTTGTGGAGAACAAGATGTCTTGGGGTTAAAAACACCAAGAAACACACAAGTTTCAGGTGCTGTCCTTATACCTGATCCCACACTCGAAACCCAAACCTGGCATTGATGTTGTATGTAGATACCTTGATACCTAGCTACCTACCCACCATGCTGTAGGTGGAGCAAGTTATAGCAAGGTGATTTTGCACAGGCCTGCAGTGGTAAACTTTCATAGACCAGCTCCCAGACATTTATTTACCTTTTTTGAAATGACTTAATAACAGTCCCAAATTAAATCCCAAGCAACTTTTGAAGTGTGAATGCATGCTGTGTGAAAATTGAAGATAACCAATTCCACTTTGACTCATTGAATAGTTGAACTCACAATCACAATGCACATAGTCTGAAGCAGCTACATTTGTGCTCTGCCCTCCACATGCCCACCACAGCAATACAAAGAACCAAACCACACACAGGAGTTCTGGTGCATTCCCAGAAATTGTGATGGCATTCTAGCACTGGTCAATGGGCCAACCAACTACAAGTAGCACAGGTTGTTCCTGAAATGACAGGCTGTGATGAATAGTCTAAGAAAAGCCATGTATCTGGTCACACCTACACAAATTGTTAAGTTTGTGGTATTAAAATCATAAAGGCTTACAGCAGTGCATTTAAAGTTGTAATTTGCCACCTACAAATTTATTTTATCTTTGGGGGGTGCAAGACAATGCTGAGACAATGCAGTACTTGTTCTACAAATTGGTAGATATTTCTCATTCTGAGGCACATCATGACATTTCAACACCCTCTGAGGAAGACCTATGCCTGGGCAATACCAAAACATGTCAGCTTTTCAATAAAATTTGGCTAACTTGGCCAAAAACTTGCTGTTCTCCAGCTTGTACTCTGCCTTGTTCTCCTGAGGTCTCCCCATAGGCTCCATTGTGAGGAGGGCAACCAGGTGATGCTCTTTTCCCTCCAGTTATTGACCATCTCTATTTTACAAGTACAGGTACTGGTTGATCCCAGAGACGTGATACTGTTGTTTAATAAGTAAGATGTCCTAGAATGTTCAATGATGGGCATTTGCTGATTTCTTAAAAAGTGGTTCACTTACTGTCATTTTTACAATAGTAATGATAAGTTTCAACATGCTGCATGCCAAAAAAAAACATTTTGGGAACATAATTTCTGATGACATTCTGATGAACCCTTAAGCAGACCTCACCACCAAAAGTGCCACCGACAAACATGGTATTGGGATGCCATGTAATTTTATGATTCTATCTTAAAAGTTCTGACATATGGTGTGCTTAAATGCTATGATTTTCAATTCAGTTGCAAGTTGGGTGGTGATTGGCAGCTGGTATGGCAGGAGCGGGAATGAAACGAGCACCTTGAAAAGGATGTTCAATGCAGCAATATTTTGGAATTTTCCCACCAATTTGTTCACACCATGCATGTCCTTTGGTAGAATTGCTAACATGCTTTCTAAGTATGAGGTAACTTTAGAGCATAGTATGACATAAGAGCATTCTGGACTTCTTGCTCTGCCAGTCTTCTAATGATCTAGTTGAAATAGATGACCCATCAGTGATTTTGGTGATGTTATGAGCTAGTGGTTTTCTGTTCAAACAAATATTGTTGTAGGTATCTGTTTGTTGTGACGTGGACCTTCACTGCCCGGAAATTCACTCATCAGCTGCAGGATGCTGGGCTGCCATAAGTTTTGGGTACAGAGGGGATGGGTTCGTCGTGTGGTGGGAGCCGGCGCCATGATATGTTTGTCCGTTTCTTGAAAAGGCATCGGTAAGTGTTTACATAGTGAAGTTTGCAGCCTTACTTACTCAGGTGTGTCATATATTTTCCCCACAGGTAATGATATGTAAGGTATGTGGCAGCAGTGTGTACTTAAAACAAGCACATTTCAGTTTTTCATTTTGACACAAGTAGCTTGCATGAGTTGTCATTGCCCTTCAAGAGTTGTATAGGCTTGTGCAAGTGCATCTAACCCATGTAATACAATGATGAAGGACATTAACATGAGCTCCCTGGATTGGCCAGCTCCTGCAGGATTGCATATGCTTGTCTTCATTTGTTGGTGCTACATGTGTTTGGTCCCTGGAAGCCAATTAAAAGTTATATCCCACTTTATGAAAGCCAAGTTCATGCACCCTCTTGGCTATCAACAAAGCAAAACTGTCTGCCTTGGTACTTATACCCAGGTCCTAAGCTCATACATTTGCAATGGCACCTTTGCTTTGTGGGGTGGACTGCAGTGTTTGTCTGGAGTACAAAAATTGTCATTCTTGCCATTCAAGATCCTGGAGTACAACATTTTGTGGTGCTACATCCACCAGAAAATGGAGGTTTTTCCCACACTGCCTCAGTTGTCTGGCTTCAGTAAAAGCTTGTGTGATTTTTACAATTCCTATTTCCTTAATTTTCACCTTTTATTAAGTCTCAATTTTTCATTAATCCAGAAAAGCCAAATAAGTTGTTTTGCAGTATCTTTCTGCCAATTTTGGGTTAATGAAGATGCGCAAAAAAAGCATGCCTTTACAGTATGTTTTTAGGCTGGTTTTTCAAACAGAATCCAGTCTGCCTTCATCCATCTGGACTGGTCATATTTAATGCACCTGATTTCCAAGATATGCCACAGTCAGTTTTCTTATGCAGTCCAGTCCACATATGGTATCACATTAATCTCTAAGGAGTTGTGTTTGTGCATGGTGCCAAAACACCATGGCATGTAGATGCATGCATCCAGAACTAATTTAGACATTGTTTGCCAGCTCAGTACTCTGGGAATGATCATATGGTCCATGTCTAGATATCAAGAAGTTTCCTCTAGAAGCATGGCTTTACTAGGCTTTACTAGGCTCAGGATGCTGTCAACCCAGGTTTGAGGTGCTGCTATGACTCTCAGAGCAGATTTTTTAAATGCTTCATACCATGGTTTGTGAATGGCACCTTAAGTTAGGTACAAGTTCTCCAAATTCGTTGACACCCTTTACATGCTAATAAGGTTAGCAAAACCCCACCTGCTTTTTAGGTCTGGTTTTGTGTTACCTCAGGGTGCCTGATGACTTGTATTTCAGCATACCCTACCTGGATCTGTGGTGCATATATGCGTGAACATGGTGCATTCCTTGGTGTGCATTTCATGGCATCTGGGTAGATTATGAGGTGCACCCCAACCCATACCTGGCACACCAGGAATGGTCCTAACCAGTTATCTCAGTGGTAGGACCCTGGACTTGCAATCAGAAGGCACTGGTTCACACCCGAGCAAGCCAGGGATAAGCTTGGTTTGCAACATAAATGTGGCTGAAAGCTGAAAACCAGACAGTTTTCTCAGGACTAAATCATATCTGACATCATAGGATTAATTTGCTGAAATTTTGTATACCCAGGTATGCATCAGAAAAGAATAATGATAGATTGAATACTGATTGCATCCATCTTTCCAATGGCACACTCCATTAGCTAAGGACAGCACATGTCTCCCATGCAGGTGTGCGGTCCATCCAGCCAGCGATGGAGGCTCTGGTGCTGGTGGTGGACGTCGGCGCGTCGACCGGCGTGCAGCCGCCGGACGGCCGGCCCTCCTTCCTGGAGACGGCGCTGCGCTGCTGTGACCGCGTTGTGCAGCGCAAGCTCTTCTCCGCCCCGAAAGACCACGTGGCGCTGGTGTTGATCGGCTCGGACGCCACGGACAATGCGCTGGCTGACGGCGATCAGTACCAGCACGTGAGCCTGGCGCGCCGGCTGGCGCCTGCTGACTGGCAGCTGGTACACCTGCTGCAGGACGAGCTGCACGCATCGGCCGCGCAGGGCGACTGGCTGGACGGCCTGGTGGTGGCGCTGGACCACCTGGAGGCGTCCGGGCGCGTGCACAAGTACGCCGAGCGACGGCTGGTGCTTCTGACCGACTTTGCTGGTCCGCTGTGTGCCGACCAACTGGACGCGATCGCGGCCGGCCTGCGCCGCCTGGAAGTCGACCTGACCGTCATCGGAGTCGAGCTTTCAGACGCGGCCCCTGTCGACGCGGCCGGCGGCGGCGGCGACGAGCCACGCGCTGGGCCGTCCCGGCCGCCCGGCTCGCTCCGGCACGACGGCAAGCCCAAGACGCAGCGTCAGCTGGACGGAGAGGCGGTGGCGGCGCGGCTCATCGACAGCCTCGACTGCGACTTCCACGCCTTCGAGCAGGCGCTGCCACAGCTGCTCTTCTTTCGGAAGCGGGCGACGCGCGCGGCGCCCTGGAACGCGCCACTGCAGATCGGAGACAACCTCACCATTCCCATCACTGGCTACAGCCAGGTGCGCAAGGCAACGCCGCCGTCCTGGAAGAAGCTGACGGTGGACGAGCAGCCAGAGGCTGTGCGCCAGCGTAAGCTGTACGAGCTGCAGGACGACGAGCGCACCGTCGTCCCTGTAGAGGACACGCTGCGCGCCTTCAGCTACGGCACGACGCTGGTGCCGTTCTCGGCGGATGACGAGAAGAGGCTCAAGTACAGCAGCGGCGCGCCCTGCTCGCTGCAGGTGCTCGGCTTCACGGCCGCTGCCAACGTACACCCGTACCAGTTTCTGGGCACCCAGACGGTCCAGATCGTGGCACGCCGCGACGACGCGGCGGCTGAGACGGCGCTCTCGGCGCTCATTCACGCCCTTCTGGAGACAGACATGGTGGCCATCACGCGGCGCACCTACCGCGCCGGCCTGATGCCGCTGCTGGGCGCTCTGCTGCCGCTCATCCACCACTCCTTCGAGTGCCTCGTTTTCGTGCAACTTCCGTTCTGCGAGGACGTGCGCGGCCCGCTGTTCGAGCCGCTGCCGGAGACGTTCGGCGACGGTCAGCTGGCAGCTGTCGACCAGCTGCTCGACGCCATGGACCTGACGGCGCCGGCGGCGCGGCCTGTCGCCGAGCGGCTCGCGCCCGGCGCCTTGGTCAGCCCGCACTTCCAACGGCTGTGCCAGGTGCTAGCGGCGCGCGCGCTGCGACCGACAGCGCCGCTGCCACCGCCCGCCGAGGACGTGCTGCGCCAGCTGGCGGCCGACCCGGCGATGGCGGCCGGCGCCGGTGGCGCGCTGCGCACGCTTGCCGCGCAGTTCCCGCTGCTGGAAGTGTCGCAACCGCACCAGCGGCGCGAGACGGGCCGCGACGTGTTCCAGGCGGCGGACGCGGCCGCCGACCCGTCGGCCGCCGACGCCGCCACGCCGGCCGTCACACAGATCGGCACCGTCAGCCCGGTCGACGACTTCGTGACGCTGCTGGGCCGCGACGACGTACAGTTCGACGAGCTGTGCGCGCAGATGCAGCGCGTGATCGCGAGCTTGGTGCGCGAGGTGATGCTTCGGCCAATGCTGCTGGACAAGACGCTGTCTGCTATCGTCTGCCTGCGTCAGCACTGCTGCCGTATCGCGCCGCTCGCCTACAACACGTGGGTTGGACAGGCGCGCGCTCAGCTGATCGAGCGGCCGGCGCTGTGGGAGCACGTGACGGCGCAGCGACTCGGGCCGATCACGGTGAGCGAGAGCGTCCACCCGGCCGGCACCGATGAAGAGGCCGAGCAGTTCTACCGCAGCGTTCAGGCGGAACAGGCTGCGCCGGCCGACGTCGACATGGCGGAGGATCTACTGGATGACCTGTGAGAGGAGCGGTGGGTCGAGTGTGGTCTGGTGTAGGAGCAGTGGTGGGCCGAGTGTGGTTCGTTGTAAGAGCAACGGTGAGCAGAGCGGTCCGGTGGGAGTTGATCAGCAGATGTAATGGAGTTCGGTGAGGTGGGTGTTCGGCTCCCATCGATGAGGTTAAGGTAATGTTAGCAAGGTGATATACGGCGGATCACGTGATCTCCGGGAAAGTCCAGCAATGGCAGCCACTTGTGGCAGACGATACGAGCGTTACATTCGTGGAATTAGTCACTTGTGCTAGTCGGTGAGGAGTTTTGTAGGAATCTTCTGTCATGTGTTTATGCACGTTTGGTGCCTTGTCACCGAAGGTTTGCCATGATTTCATATGCGCCGATGAGAAAGGTGCGTGAATTTTGACAGGCCTTTTGAATAGGACGCGTGCCTTATCCATGCCGCGTGCTGTTTAGACTCCACCATTCCTGTTGTCCACGGAAAGTTAGTTTTTTTGTCGTGACTGGGATACATTAGTTCATTCTTATCTCTGTTGTACTGTGCTTGCTCCTTTCTGCATGTTTGTTGTTGTTTTTGTTATACCTGTTTTCGAAGTAAGAAGTCGTTAGATATTCACGAGTGCAGTGGCGTTCATTAAATGGCATGCTTTCGGCAAAAGATTGGCGTGAAACTTCTGTCACACCTCAACCATCAGCTGTCTGCGTCCTGTTGTCGTTGCCAATTTAACCGATCCCAAGGCCTGTGAGCTTTTCTAGCTCAGTTGCAAATAAAACAGTTGGATGCTGTCATTTGTTTAGCCTTCGTAGGGTCTAGTTTTAGCGGTGTCGCGACCGGGCGTCATTTTTGCGTCATTGTTGGTTTAATCCTGTTTGCAACAAGCGAGAGCTTTATGCAATCCGCGCGTTCTCCATCGCCTGTTTGGGAAGAATGCATAGCCACTACATGCTCCGTGCAGCCTTCGTAGGGTCTAGTTTTAGCGGTGTCGCGACCGGGCGTCATTTTTGCGTCATTGTTGGTTTAATCCTGTTTGCAACAAGTGAGAGCTTTATGCAATCCGCGCGTTCTCCATCGCCTGTTTGGGAAGAATGCATAGCCACTACATGCTCCGTGCATGACATTACAACGCTGAGCCATCGCATTATTGTTAAAGCCTGGTGAAGTAGTCGGCATGTTTAGATGGGTAGTAGCCCTGCGGCAAACGCATGCGAGGTTGCTGACAGCGTTCTACCTTGATGACCATGCTTGCGATGTGAGACATTTGAGGGACTTGCTTTTCACGATTGGACGTGTGATTATCATCCGCTGCCATCCAGTCCACGAGCCTGGGTACTCGTACCGGAAGCTGGTACAGCGGGGACCGGGACAAGGCGCCGCATAAGACTTGCTGGCGCGAAGTGTAAACTCAGGGGACTACACCTCATCTAAGCTCGCAAAACACGCATAGCAGATCATTTTGCGAGGCGCTGTACATTCTGAAGAGAGTGCAAGTTAGGCTAAGTTTCGACGAGTGTTGTTTCCAGCTTCTTCAACTCATGCTGTCGCTGTGTATCTAAGTGGTCTGCGGTAGGCCCTGGAAATGCTGTAAAAGCAGGTTGTATCTACTAAAAGTCCTTCGCGTACAATAAAACAATTGGGCGTTCTAACGCGCCAGCGCACAGTATTTGATGATCATGCAGGTCTTTGGGCGCGCCGACTGCACACTACTCGGGTAGGTAGATGGGGGTAAGGGGTAATCAACTATCGAAAGGGTCAACACAAGTGGACGGTACTTTTCAAATTCTCTCAGGCGATGGACTCTCAACCTGTACTGCACCGCCGAACGCTGAAACAACCTCTCGCACACACCGCTCTGCACCGCAGCCGGCCACCAGCAGGGCGACGGCGACGCGCCACGCTGCACCAGCTCTCAGTCCCCACTTGCCGCGCGCCCGCAGGGCCCCCCCGACTGCAGCAGTGCTGTGAGCAGGACGCGACTCGGCGCCCACACGAGGGCTGACAGCAAAAGAAACTGTGAGCCATCTTGCTTCGCTATCTAATGGCCCAGAAAGGCTCCAAATCTATCCTGACACAATAATTTGACAAAAATCCAAACAGCTGCACTGGTGGCGATTTTTCCGAGCCGTGCGAGTAAGACAAGAAAAGACGAAAGCAGATTTATCTTTGCAGCCTTGGAGATGGGCGGAAGCGCGTGACCATTGCAAACGTTTGCACAAGCCCTGTAGGTTTGGACGAGCACATTCTATTGAATGAAATCAAACAAGCAGGAACAGGCGGGGTTACTGCGGACGAGCGGGCGCTAGTTTTAAAGCAGTCCATTGCAGACTGTTGTGGCGTGCCAGCCATAATGTGCACTGCTCAAAACACATATAACTTTACTCATGGCTCATTGACGTGGTTTTCTTCACTTGCCTCACATGGCTCCCTACGTCTTCATTCACACCTCATCAAACGTCCGTAACCACGAGCATTTTATCCAGCCCAGTGTATATTAAATAAACGCACACATCGCATGGTGAACAAACCTTGAAAAAGCCGCGCGCGCATGAAGAAAACGAAACACAATTTCCATGGACCCCACCAAAGCACGATGCCCCTTAACCACACCAACAAGTTCCCGGCAGCTCTGCCCGCGGACGGGTGCCGCAGCGTCTACTTCTTCTTCTTGGTCTTGGAAGAGTCGGACGCATCTGATGACCTGGGCTTCTGCCAGTTCAGAGGGCGCCGGCGGTACATCGGCCAGGGCGGCAGGGTCAGCTGAAGAGTACGTACATCACAGGTCAGTTCGCCAGCCAGGGCAGCTCTACCACGTGGCATACAAGTATAATACACACCATTTAATGCAAGCATATGTACGGTGGTGTGGCCTCCGGTACACTGAAATGGTGCATCATGCTGATCAGAACAAAGCAGTGGCATTAGGCTCAGCAATTAAGTTCGTTAGATCCTCATTTGGTGCATGAGGCTTTCTGAATGACATCTGAGGTCACAGCCCTTTGGGATGGGATCCTTAATGTGACCTACAGCCAGCCCTTTGGGCCCTTCAGCCTTACAACCAGGCCTTCGATCGCCGGCCTCAAGGGGCCCTTTGGCCCCTCTCGGGGCCCCTCAAACACTGCCCCTGGCGAACTCGGAACCCTTTGCTGTCGCAGGCCCCCTATTAGGTACTGTGGCCCCCTTACCAACACAGGAGACAATCACTGACTAAGGGGACTGACCACGCATAATCCGAGGTAAATCGTAACCCATGGCCTCGTCCCTCCTGAGAAATAGGCCCTCGGCATCAGACCAACACAGAACTGACTGTTCATTACATATTTGTGTTGCCTGATTGATGTATAGGCCCTCATTGGCTTAGGTCCCCCAACCAGTACACCCATAATCTGTCTGGCATTTGAGGGCCCCTTAATATGACCCCCAGCCAGGCAGTTAAGCCGTCAAATCAGACCCTTAATCATTGGTCTTGTGATATCCCTTAGGTCCTTCAGGACCTGCAGGGAGCATGTGTCTCTTATACTCCTTGCTTGCAGTGCTGCCCAGTATTACCTACACAGAACAGCTTTCAACATGTACAGAACACACTGGATCCTTCTTGTGACAATAAGACAGCTCTGCACAAGGACTGTAATTTCAGAAGACAACAATTTGTAAAGCTAGATCAAGATGTACTGTTACACATGGAACACCTGTTACCACAAACTTGAATATATTGTGCATGCCAATGCCAACTGGGAACACATGGTTGGTGGCATACAAGAAAAGTTACTTACCAGACATGCCAGAGCAACACCAGCACCCAGGATGTATACTGTCTGTGAGAACTGCTGGATTGAATAGCCCCAGATAAGACCCACTACCTGTAAGAAACAAAGAAAACAAATCACTAAAAATGCATGTACTACAGCTATAAGTTATTCATCACAATGTTCCTGTTAAAGGATAAGGGTGGCAGCACATGTAACTGCCCATTTCTTAGCACCAATATACTTTTGATATTGTTCTCATAATTTCTTTTGGAGATATCTGAACCTTATTTTAACTGCCTCAGAGGCACATGCATGATTACACATCTGAAATTTTAGAAACTGCTAACAGAACATAAGCAACATATAAGTGAGACCAAGTCATGTCTCATAATATGCAATGATACATGATGCAATATGTGACCAGGCCAGTCACACTCACCCCAAACAGGACAATGATGACCTGGAAAAGGCGTTCTGCTCTCTTCTGGCCTTCATAATCCTGAAAAATTGAATCATGTGAACATGGCATAACAAAGGTTGCAATCATAGGTCTAGGGTTAGTATCATTAAACAAATTTATCAGCAATATAAAAATGTCATTATGATGATGATGATGATCTGGGCTTTGAGGCACACAAACTACAATGGTCAAATGGCACTCAAGTGCCATCATGACATGGTATAAACATTACAATAAAAATTGCAAAATAACATCAACTTACAACAGCATCATTGAAAAAACAACAGTTCCATGTCTTGACCACATTAACTCATTTCAGCACAAACTATTTATATGAAATATCATAGGTATGCTATGTATCTAAATGGACCTCCATCACCACGTGCACTGTGCAACATTCTGCTACTAGTAAAGAAGGTAGAGCAGCACCACTGCACCACATATTCCAGATACGCCACACATAAATATTGCTTATGATCATTAAATGAGGACTTGTTTATCAATATTTGTGTACTAAATATACCATATTACAAAAAAGATCCACTGGGGAACATCTCACAAAGATCAGCAGTATTATTTCTGTCTTATCCATTTATGTGTTCATTTTGGATCAAATATGACCTGTTCACCATCGCCAATCTTCTTGTCACCAAACTTACCATATGAACTGGGATCCATGCTGGCAGCTGGAGCATGATTGGTTTATGTCTGCGCCTGTTGTAAAAACCCTCTTAATGGGTAATGATGAAATATTTAAGAAAACCTGGCAACAGACAACTGTTCGCGTTGCGTTCTCCCGCCCTTCACCTTGTAAGTACTACACACCGGTAGCCCAATCGGTCGAAGAACGCCTCGATTGACAATACCACACTCTGTTGTTGAAGGTAAAAGCGTGCGTCGGGTAAGAACAAAGTGCGTCGCGTAAGTATTCTGCTAGCAAACAGCGAAATCTGCTCACTTCCATTCAGTCTGTGTTACGAAAATGATATTTCATCCAAACCGCATCTTTGATTGGTGTAATTTTCCTTCTTATGCTAGTTCAGTATTATCTGAGCACAATAAGGAGACGTGTTGACGGTTTTTTCTCTTCCAGCTGGGCCTCTTGACTCCAGCGGACACCATAAGGCTATGACTTGCCACAAGGTATACTGCGCAAGGGCCTCTGTCCGGCGTCCGGACTGAAAGTCGAATGGAAAAAGTTGAACGAAAAAAGTCAGCGGAAATAACAGCCGAGTGTATTGAAAGTGGGGAACGTAAAAGGATAAAATTCGACAAGGTAAAAAGGCGAATGGAAAAGGTCTGGGGTGTCAGAGCCAACAAGCAAAATAAAAAACTCAAAAGACAAAATGCTCAAATGGACAAAGACCGACAGCTAGTCCACGAGGGACTACTGAGTACATATGACACGTTCGTTGTCATAAAGACAGCTTAAAACGCCGAGTACTGACAGTCTAGCGCGTGTTTCCCCCGTAGCGTCATTTAACCAGGCTTTCGGTACATTGCAGGTGAATTACTTGGACATTCGACATTGGAGACATTGACATTGGGGCTTCGAATGCATGATGCCGAATACGGAGATGAAGCTTGCTTTTCAGTTGAGGAGAAGGTTTGGAGCCCTTCCACCAACTTTGCGCAGAATGGGGTCAGATTTGGGAAGAAATCAATTTACTGGCGTCTTAAAGGTGGGTTGCATCATTTACTCCTGTTCCGACCTCCCCCTTCCCGAAATCATTTTGCGAAACTACACCCCCTAATGAATGCCCGAAGCTAATTAAAGCTTCCTCGCTGATATCAAGCATCTAGTTTCATGTCTCAAACAGGTCCACATAATGTAGATGTTGCTTGGTTTCATAAGGAATACGCGTGTTCAATGCTGACCAGAGGCGGCGCCAACAAATTTGCGATGGGAGACGTAAAAACATCACGGCACTTGAAAAAACGGATCACAAAATAATAACACGTGTGATAACTGGCGTCCTCGCAACTGATCACTGCCATGCAATTTCTCGCATGTCTTAAAATGAACCACCGTTAGACGTGAAGGCGCAGGGACCAGGGGTTCGGAAAGGAGCAGATACCCATAACTTCCGGAAAATTTTACATTGACCCTGTGGGCGTTAATTGAAAAGAAATATTCTGACTATCACGTTGCCAGCCAATGGCGCTCCCAAAAAACATGCTTAGCGCAAGGTTGCAGCTTCCGAAAAAGAGCAAAAGTTTATTTTCTTTCAAATTGGACGCAGTATCTGTTGAGATCACCGGTCCAGCCAGTCAGCCAGCGTTGAGTAATATGCTGACGGTTGGTCTTTAGTTACTTACGTAACTTTAGTGCTTAATAAAGGAACACGCATGTCCTAAAATAACTTAACTGCTCTTACTATTAAAACACGACACCTTTTTTACTTTATCTCTCCAAGACTGCTTTATTCCCTTCTTTAAAAAAAAAATACACCGTCGCGTGGGCAGCGTTCGTGCACAACATACAACAGAACATCCCTAACATCTCCCCCCAACCCTGATTGACCCCTCTCGTCATTCGGAACATCACTTCTACATCCCCCATGAGAACATCACTGCTCCATTTCCATACGGATGATTTTGGTGACTGGCCTCTTGAACAGTCCCTTTGACGTCTTCACATCAACCATTCTGACCAGGCCATCTGGTCCTAGATACGTCTTCTCGACTCGCGCCATCGGCCAGGTTCCTCGCGGCACGTTGGGATCAATAAGCAGGACCGCTTCTCCTTCTCGCAGGTTCCTTCTGACTTCAGTCCATTTCTGTCGCGTTTGCAGAGTCGGCAGGTATTCACATGCCCAGCGACGCCAAATCTCTGTGCTAAGCTGCAGCAACCCGCTTTCGGAGGCTGCAACCATCTGTGCTCGCTAAAGGTGTCATCTCAACTCTTGATGGACCCGTGATGAAGTCTCCCGGTGTCAGCGGCGGCAGGTCGCTTGGGTCAGACGAGACGGCTGTCAGTGGGCGGGTGTTGAGCAGTCCTTCAGCCCTGCAGAACGCTGCGTTCAGCTCCTCATCGGTGAGATCCGCTTGTTCCAAAGTCTTCACCAGCGCCTTCTTGGCCACCTTGACCAACGCTTCACACACCCCATTGAAATGGGGTGCGCCAGGAGGATTGAAGATCCACTTCGTTCGGTATTCCGAGAGCTCTCTTTGAATCGTATCGCTGATGAGCTCCTGAACAGCTCCTCTGATGAGCTCCTCTTCAGTTCTTTAGCGGCCCTCACAAAGTTTCTCCCGTTGTCGGATCTGATCTCGGCTGGTCGACCTCAGCGCGAGATGAACCGCATCAGAGCGCGTATGAAGCTGGCGGTGTCCAGTGAGTAGGCCATCTCAAGATGCGCAGCCTTGGTTTGTAAGCAGACAAAGATGCATAGGTAGCGCTTTTGTGGCGTCTTCCGCCATCCCTGCTATGTCCAGAATGGTCCGGCGTAGTCAACAGCACATCTGCCGAAGGCCCGGAGAGACGGACGCACCCGTGCATCTATCATCGGCGCCATTTCTTGTGTTTCTGGCTTCTTCTGTAACTTCTGACACGTAACGCACCTGCGGACGCAAGACTTTATCATCTCTCTCGCTGCAGGAATCCAAAACCTCGTTCTCAGCTCAGCTAAGGTGCGCTCTACGCTCAGTCCATGCTCAGCTTCTCCATGGACATGTTGGATAACCAGCCTGCTAGTGGCGTGCTTTTTCGGCAGAAGCATCGGGTGTTTGACTTCAAAACTCAGCTCTGGTCGTTGCAGTCTGCAGCCGCCGACTCGGATGGTCCCATCTTCATCCAAGAATGGGCTGAGCTGTTTCACAGTACTCCGACGGCATGTTCTCTGCGGTCGTGCGCCGGACATCTTCACTTGTTGAAGCTGCTTTATTTCATCTCGGAATACACCCTTTTGTGCTTGTTAAACCTAGAACTTCTCAGCTTCTTGTAGTTCTCCTGGGTCCAGTCCTCTGTCCAGTGGAGAGGTGCTCGTTTGAGTGGTCTTCTCGCGTAGAACTCTGATGAATTTCTGCACACAGGCTGTAACTCTCAACAGCTTTCTCCAGCTTGAGAAGTTTGCCGTGTTTAGCCGCCAGTTGGGACCCGACGGAGCTCGTACAGCAAACACATTCTTCTGCTGGTCCTTGATCTCGGACTGGTCGAACTCTTCTGTGGCGAATTCTTTCTTCCGTGGCCATCCGCTTTCGTCTCTCAGCAGGAACTTCGGTCCATGCCACCACAGCTGACTCTCCGAGATATCCTTTAAAGTCAAGCCCCTGGTGAGTGCGTCCAACGGGTTGTCCGACCCTGGCACGTGCTGCCACTGCTCGGGTGCTCGGGTGTCAGCTCACGAATTTCCGATACCCTGTTAGCGACAAGCGGCTGAAAACGGCGGACTTCATTTCGAATCCAGCATTGCACGTCCATCGAGTCAGACCAAAATTGCGCGTCTTCAGTTTTATTTCTTATTGCCGTGCACAGCGTCTTCACAAGTCCCAGCAGTGCGCCAATCAGCTCCAGTCTTGGGATTGTCTGCTTCTTCGCTCGCGGCCCCCCCCCCCCCCCCGTGCCAGCGCGAGCTGAGAGGATCGTTCGCCGCCACTTTCGGACACGACGTAGATGGCTGCGCCATATGCTTGTTCTGACGCGTCACAGAGCACGTGAATCTCCTGAAGGGTGACTCCTGAGAAGGAATGAATGCAGCGCGGCACTGAGAGACTGCTGAGCTGCTGCAGGTCGGCAAACCACTCAGACCACTTCAGCTGCTGGTCGCCCGGCAGTATGTCATTCCAGTCTACTCCGCTGATCTATGTCTGCTGAAACAAAGTCTTCGCTCGAATGGTGAGTGGCACGAACAGACCTAGTGGGTCGAAGACAGAGACCATCTCTCTCAGACATGTCCTTTTGGTCAAGTTTTCAGACAGGATTCCTCGTTTTGACGTGTCTATGGAGAGGCGGTGTTCATCTGTTGTCCAAACTACTCCAAGAGTCTTCGTCAGCACCGAGTCATGATCTTCAAAGAAGTGGCGCGATCTGACAGCTCTATCCTCGACCGCTTTCAACACTTTCGCGTTGCTTGACATCCACTTCTTAATCTTCATCCCACCATCTTCGAGAATACTGCTGACCTGCTTCCTAGCTTCGATGGCCTCCTGTTCTGTCCTGAACGACTGAATGCCGTCATCCATGTAGAAGTGCTTCAGCAGCACATCCGAACCCCGTGGATACTATTCTGCATGTTTTCGAGCGTTTTCTTTCAGCACGAACTGTGCGACGAATGGAGCGGCCGCGTTCCCAAACAGCCAGCGGTTTGCTTCGTATACTGTGAATTCCTCGTCCTTCATATTTCGCCACAGCACTCGGTGGTATTTTCTGTCATCTGACGCGAGCTCAACTTGTAAAAACATCTCGCAGACGTCGCCAATTAGCGCGATGCGATGCAGCCGAAAGCCGAGCAGTCTCGACGAGATCAGTGTAGAGAGACGCCCCAGGGAGAACTTGCGAATTCAGGCTCACTCCTCGATACTTAGCGGCTGCATCGCACACGATCCGGATTTTTGTTGACGCTTTCTCCTCTCGGATGACTGGAAAATGTGGCAGGAACCATTCCTTCTCGCCGATGTTTATCCTTTCGGAGACTGGCACTTTTGACAGGTAGCCCTTCTTCACGTACTCTTCAAGAATTTCGCCTTACTTGGCCGGCAGCTCGCCACCGATTCGCTTCAGAGATTGCTCCAACCGCACAAGACGCTGCATTGCGGCGAGCGCGCATATTCAAGGCCATATTGCGTAGTTTCTTATCATTAGTTATGACAGGATTCTGAGCATTTTAAGACGAACGTGGGTTAGCCATGTTAATACAAATTAGGAGCCCG